CCTGTAGTGTTGATGTGCTCGCCATGGCCGCCATAGTGATCTTTTTTTTCAACTTTTGGTGCTTTGTAGTTGTACATATCTGATTGTGACGTAGTCAGTGTCAGGATAAGTGATTTTTTTAATCCTCGTCGCCAAATATAAACTGGTTTGTTCGTTTCTTTTAATAATATCAACCCCTAGTATACAATGTAATGTTTCTATTCTTTCCGTCCTTTCCCGCTCTTTTTAACTATCCCCCATCGCTCCTGATGTCCCGCTTTGTCCAACATTAACACAATATGTACATATACATCACCTGCGTTCAGTGTTGCATGATCAATTACTAATACGGTACTTCAGATAAGTCAATGTTTGGAAAATATAGGCGAGGGGTTGCTGCATGCATGTATTTCTAGTATTGATCTTAATTCTTACCTATACCTTCCACAGAGATCAGTTGTACAGCAACAATTCCCCAGGTAAAGAATATTTGACGAATTGGAATCATTTTTTCCTAAAATAAGACAAAATGTTTTGATCCGAGTTTAAGGTGTTTGGAACCCGCGCATAAATTTTGCTTTGTGACGTCCAGCTGCTCCTTATCTACTTACAATTTCAATTATTCAGGAAGTGAAAACATATAAATACATTGCTTGACGGTTCAGTTTTTTGTTTCATAGGTACAGCATTTACAATCTTTATAAAAATCCACTGTGTATTGGAACGGAAAAAGTATAACTCTTTGATGATGCATCGTTGAAACTTGTGCAAATTCATGCCCAATTCCTTCATTGGATTATTGCGACGATGTATGGGACACGTGTATTATTCTTTCAAAAAGAATACTTCAGATATTACAGAACTCAAATGCAAAAAATCGTTCAAAGAAAGCATGACTCGGTTAGAATGTTCTTGGACAATCAATTAATTAAATTTTTTTAAGTTAAAAGTAGACGATCACATTGTCAATATATTGTAATATGTAAATGTAAGAAAAATTAAGTGGAATGTGTACATAGACACGAACTGTTTAGGCCCATGGAAATGCAGTATGCAAAATTAGAATACTAGAAGATAAGGTAATTTTGGATTACTGATCTCAAAAATAGAACAATACATTCAGAAATATACTGCAACCCAAATATGAAACAATTTCCCAATACGTACGGCAACGAGTTTTTTGAACATCTGTTTTATGAACTTCTCAAATACTTAAACTTGAATTTCATTAAGTTAATGAAGGCCTATATTTTCTGGCATTAATGTAGTACAGTAACAAAAGTTTGTTTTATAATTTCACCCACTGCTTGAAATAATGTAATTTTTTTCGTTGTACGTCTGACAGAAACAAGCGAATTCAACTAGTTCCCATATATCTGAATCCAAAAATTCAATTAATTTCATCCGGTAATTTAGGTGGGACTTCTTATATAGAATTGTCTTTCCCCTCATGATCATGCATCTGACGTACGAGCTGAGGGAACGTAATATATATATTGCACTGGCAATAACTCACCAATGTACATAGGTTTCATACATCAAAACATTTCAACAATATCCAAAAGGATTCAACGGACTTGACCGCCTGTTATTGATAACACCTTTCTATACACGGTAGACGTATAGATTCAACACTCAAGTCCTCAGGATAGTTTTTAATTAATACCGTCCGCTGTCACAACACAACCGCGACAAAAATGTATGGATATGATTAATCCCTTACAGAACAAAACACGCACGAAACGTATGTGGTGAGTTAATTAATGAATATTTTGTTGTTCCAGTGGCTAATGCTAGCCACGAGTTGATAATTAGAAGTGATCCGCAACCATCAACGGTAATAAATTCATTATTTCGTTGCCGAAAAAATACGTCAGTCACGCGACTAATTGCACTAGATCCGTCACTGAATGTACACGCATATTTATTTAGCGATAAGTTGTGACGCATCAACAGTTGGAAGACATTTCTTTCTAGATAATGGGAAATCGATAACCTTTAATTATCATTAATTCTTTGTTAGTTGGAAATATATAGAAACGCGAAATACTGTCCAAGGATCGGGAATAGAACAACAGGTGGGAAATTTGTCTGAGCATGCGCGAGTAAATTAGCCACGCAGTTGCATGGAATACACGCAACGCGTGTTTACAAAAGGCACAATCGTGTAAATATGGCCAAATGTTTGTACAAAATAAATGACTGTTTTATGTTGAAAGAGTAGACATGATCTAAATTAATCATACAGAATTTTTTAGTGACGTTCTATTTCAGTACCCTGCCATTGTCTCTGGTGGGCTGTCCGTGTGCATTCGATCTGAAACAGTTGCTACTTTGCTGTCGAAGAATTTCGAATGTTTACATGAAAATAGAGGCAAGTCATGCATTTTACAACCTCTTAAACTGTATGAGCCCCTATTTTTACGCTTATACCTAAGATATCAAATAAAAGTACATGAAACAGAGAACATTTGTAGAAAGTTTTATCGTGAGGCCACGGCCAGTTTTTAAAATATCTTTATTTCTGTTCCAGTCATCACCAAAATTACACAAAAGCCGGGCTTGAATATACAACAAATTTTGAATCTCATCAAGCACAAAAATACTTAACGTGTAACCAAAATATGCTCATGAAATCGAAATTAATAGCTAAATTTTCAAACTAGACCCTTCTCGAAGCGGTTTTCATGAAGGAAGTTCACATTTCGGCCTTTGATTCTTGGCAAAAATTTGACCACAACACGTGCGAAGCAACTGGGTCTCAAAGACTGAACTAAAACATTGTGAGCCCCTATTTTCCTGACGATATGTTTGATACCTACCAACGCCGAAAAGTTTTTTCTTTTCATTTAGCTATATTTGAAATTGAGGCCACGGGCTATTTTTGAGAAACTACAGTTCAAAGTCAAGCTATTTTTACATATTTTCAAAATTTGTCAAATTTCGCGAGCTTGTATTTTGAACTTAGACAGCTGAAGTTACATTATGAAACATAGGATGGAAAATTTGAGGCATATAAAGTTAATTTCAACTTACATTTCATTCTCAAATCACGTCTTTCTTCGTTTATTACGGTTTTAAACAAGCCATAGATCGACGTATACGGTATTTACTCCCATGTTCACGTCGCCAAATTAACTTCTTCCAATCACTCGATTACAAAACAATCATCCCAAAACAAAGAATTCATGATCGACTTTTAAAAGAATAACCAATAATTTGCAAATCGTTGAATGGAAAGCAAAAAATCGTCAGCTAAAACAGCTTCTTGCTAACTTTCTGCTTTGTTTTGAATGTAAATGCAATGAGCTTTGTTTCTGCCCGCAATTTTTTGGTCAGCGACGACAAATTTCCCACCTGTTGAATAGAACACTCCTGCAGTTTAAGGAATATTCTGCCGAGTTCAAAGTATATTCAAAAATAAAGCACTAAAAAATAGTAAATGAAGTAATATTAGTCCATTCTACAATAATAGCCATCGAACTATGGACTAATGAACTTGAGAAGCCACATTTTACCCTGATAGCTGATTATGCCCAGTCGACCTTATGATACGTTTTTGTAATGTGACACATGTGCTTATAAAAGGACACCAACCGGTTGTCGGAGCAAATGATACTGGTTGCCCATAACAACCTTCCCTCCCTTGCCCCCTTTTCCCACATAGAAGAGAGAAGAACTTGCCCAATTTTGATAACGTGATTTGGCGTATCGCCTCTGAAAAGATACTCATCCTACACGCAATTGATACATTGAAGAGACAGTCAAACTGTGCCAAAAAATACTTTACGCAATATCTTTAAGAAGAGATTTTTTGCAAAGTCGGGTATTTTTTTCGAACCAGGTCTTCGCGAAGAAATGCTGCGGCGCCATCTCGGTTTTAAAAGTTTTTTAAAATTTGCGAAAAAAATAACAGAATGATATTACTGGATTTTTGACTGTGTCACGAGGCAAAACATTGCCCAATATAAAGAAAGATAACATGGTAAGTGTAATATCGTATTTAATAACTGTTATTTAACTTATCCCCGAGCCGACGGCGCGAATCGCCGTGCGAGGGTACTAATTCCCCCCGGCTATTTACACCCGGGGAAGGGAAGCATTAGCGAAGTCTAAAGTTCATCAAATATCGCGGGCGTGGGTCACTGTGCGTGTTGCGGTGGGTGGTCATCCTCACTGATCTCATAATATAGCGGACTGTAATGAATAGCCAACACTGATTGGTCCAATTTAAAATTGGCATTATAACGGCTGCATGACGATTGACGACAGCGAAATTGATTTGATGATTTCTTGCAAATATATTTCATTTTGCAAGATTTTGTAAATTGCAAAGGATTTTTGATGAAATAAAGGCAAGAGGATTGCTAAAAGAAGGAAGTAAAGGTGCCGACGTTAACGAAGGTAAGTTTGTTTTAAATATTGATGCATTGTTTGCTTTTAATATACTGTAATCTCGGCTGTAATTACTTTAAAAGCCGATCGTTGCGTATATAAAATATGAAACAAGACAGCGTATTATTTCAATGTTTCTTTATTGATTACACTTTTTATTATA